GGGGGGGGGGGGGGGGTGACACCTTCAGGAAATAGTTCTCCTTCCTAGTTCCTACTTATAGTTTGATACAACTATGCCTTAGCCCCAAATAAGTTGGGATTAGCTATGTTACTCTAGTTTAACATCTAAATATATTTTGAAATATAACTTTCAAACATTATAAAAAATAAATCTCAATCACCAAAATGTCTAAACAACAACAAATTTAACAAACCCATTTTGTAACTAAGAAGAAGAAGAAAAAGAAATTCTAAACATAAAAAGGACAAAAAAAACAGTAGTAATAAAGAAGAAGAGAAAAAGTGTATGTATTTGAAGTTATCCAAATATTGGATATCAATTAAACCATTTAAAAAAAAACAGGTACAAATTTAATTGGTGACGCAAAACTGGACATCATATGAAAATTTTACCAAACTCAAAGAGTTACTGACTACAACTACTAAGGGCTTTTTGGGTGTGTTTGGTAGGAAGAAAAATATTTTCGAATTTTCCTATGTTTGGTAGATTTTTCTGGAAACATTATTTTTTATGTTTTTCATTCAACAATGAGTAATTTTTTTTCATGATATAAAAAAGTCTTTTTTTATTTTGACAAAAAAATACTTTCTTTTCATGTAGAAAAAGTATTTCTTTTATTTCAATAAAATGAGTATTTTATTTTCATGTTTTAGAAAGAATACTTTCTTTTTCAACCAAAAAAGAGTATTTCTTTTTAGTTATGGAGCACAAATTTTAACGTTATTTTTGCGTTAAAAAGTAAAGCACCACATTAGTTCCTTTGGGTTTGTGTGAATTTTAAGAGACTTGGGGGAAGATGGGGGGATGAGGAGAGTAGCATAAAAAATATTTTCTATTCTCTAACCAAACACTAAAAAATATTTTCTGAAAAATGTTTTCCACTCACCAACCAAACAAGAGAAAATAAGTGATAAAACCACTTATTTTCCATGAAAACATTTTCTAAGAAAACATTTTTCATGAAAAACATTTTTTTTCATACCAAACACACCCTTTATATCTTCTTCTTTTCCTTTCCTTTCCTTGTCAAGGTCCGCATTCATGTATGCCAAAAAATATCAGAAAATGACAGGAGTGCCCATGTGAAAGTTGAATTTAAGTGGCATTTTCTGAGCGTGTTTGGTCGTATAACATTTATGTATACCAAATAAATCATAACTGTTACATATAAATATTCTTTGGAATAGCATGCGCTCACTTTAAAAGCTCTTAGAAAAAGTTCTAATGGACGGTATGGACCCATAACTACCCGAGTGTAGAGCATTATGGTTAGAAGTCAAACTCAAACACTAGTTCCTCTAAAGTCTATGATTTTTATTTATTATTTTTTTTCCTTGTGTTAACCATGATTAGGGGAAGGAGAAAATAAAAAATAAAAAAAATAAACGGGACAATTGTGATGTAATTTGGAGATATAAATGTTGGGTGTGCATGCACAAAATCACAAATAAAAAGTAACCAAAAAAAACTACTTATAAAGAGTTTGATGCTCTTAATGGTATGAGGTATTTTGGGAAAACTGTCCGGGCATGATCCAAAGTGGATAATATAACACCATGTTAAGAGTATCTTTAGGTCGTTTTAGTCCAACAACTTGTATCAAAGCCAATAATTTGCGGTAGAGCTACGGAGATGGCGGTGTGGCGTGAGCCCGGCTTAGCGGCTTTGCCCGCCTACAGGGTTTATAACCTTTACCCGTAGCTTTGAAGATCCATACACAGCCTTTGGGCTACAACGAACATAAATTCTCAAGATCATGTGAGTGCCACACAGTTAACCTCCAAATTAGCCCATGAATGGTATTGGGTCATGTGGAACTTATTTTAAAGAAGAGATTATTGGGTGTGTGTGAACAAAATTCCTCAGGGCCCGCTTAGTCGCTTTGCCCGCCTACGGGGTTTACGACCTTTACCTATAGTTTTGAAGATCCATACACAACCTTTGGGCTACAACGAACATAAATTCTCAAGATTATGTGAGTGACACACAGTTAACCTAGCCCATGAATGGTGTTGGGTCATGTGAAACTTAGTTCAAGGAAGAGATTGTTGGGTGTGTGTGAACAAAATCCTACGTGGAAAGTAGAAAAGAAAAAGAAGCTACTTATAAAAGTTGAATACTCTTAATGGTTATGAGATCTTTTGCGGAAAATCGTACAGGCATAGCAAAAAACGGACAATATTACATCATGTTAAAAATATTTTTGAGCCATTTTAGTCCAACAATAACCATACACTTATAACCATTGGACTACAACTTCAATTCAAGGTCCATAATTCATTCCTCAATTTCCCTTATTCAGATGATACAAGTTTTCTTCTTTTCTTGGTTGTTTTATTGGATTCATTTGTTCAAAGTGTAATAAGAAAATGAATTTTCTAAGTTTGCAAAAGGGGATGAATTTTGCTCGAAAAGAAGAAGAAAAGGTCTTTAATGTCATAATCAGGCTAGTGGAGTTTGGTCTTGCCTTTTGAGAAATTGAATGTGGGCTGTGAGGACAATCTTGAAGTTTGGCCATGTGAGAAGTAAATATTTGCCCTTTGAATAAAACAACTCCTTTGTAGGTATGGGCATGTGGTTGTTAGCACTTAGCAAATCCCAATCAGTAACTCCAGTACAATTCTAGAAATGTCCTATTTGAACCTTTTCCATTTCATATTTCATATATTTCTTTTTTTTAAGTGTTTGAGCTAAGGCGTGCCACTTTGACCATTTTACCGAATACCTGATATCTTCCGCCATTACGAATATTAAGTGACTCCAGTAAGATTTATGCAGATGGTAAGAAACCTCTGAATTATAATCTCCTACCATTTTCAAGCCACCTATCGACTCGTGGGCGACTATAGATTTTCTCGTGTAATTCCTTTTCTCATAATTTTTTTTTAAAAAAAATTGACCTTGTATTTTGAGATAATTCAATTACATGTAGAGATTTCAACCCCTTATAATACTCAGCTTGCACATGTCAAGTCTTTGATGATGTTTAAGTCTGGCCAGTTTATGCTATTTGTTGAGGCAATGCAAGCAACAAGTAGATGGATTGGGATGTATATATGAATTAAATTCTATAAGAAGAAAGGTGATTGAATTCACAACTACACACTTAAATGACTAATTAAAACCCATTTTGAAAAGGTCAAAATGCCTAATTTTCAAGCTAATTAACCAACAACCTATTGAATTTTATGACATAAATTGATTTAGCTACCCTATCATCTTAACCACCACATTATTTGCATGTAGTTTCCTTTTCAACCTCATTTACTTACTCTTGACCTTTTCCACCTTCCCCCCTACTCCTTTTGTCTTTTTAGTGAGGATGGACAACTGAGCTTTTATTATTTATTTTTTGAAACTTTTGGTAGGGGCTAGCGGCATATCCAAGATTTAATGTTTATAGATTCCTGCAACGATCTTGAGTAAATTCACAGTAACTGGGTTCACATTCAAACATTTATAGATATTTAGTGAATTTTTGAAACACATTTATATTGTTTGGACAAAAACTACTGGGTTCACATGAGCCCGTAGGTCGCAAGCTGGANCATAAAAAAAAAAACCATCTTGCATGTTTTAACCAAAGAAACCATGGATTGGTATTCTTGGTTATCCAAGACTACTCTTGATCAAACACTTATCTATGAATATGGTCTTATTTTACGCAGAAATGAGCTTCACAAAGAGGATTTAACTTACTTCAACCATGAGTTCCTACAAAGCATGGGCATAACTATAGCCAAACACAGACTAGAGATTCTCAAATTGGCAAGAAAGGAAGGAGGAACCACATCAAATGGCCTCTCAAGACTTGTTTTGGCAATCAACAAAACCAAGAAGCTCATTTCCAAGAACTTCAGCAAGCTCAGTTTTCACCGAACCTCGACTCATCTTGCTCTATCCGAGCTCAAACCTTATCGAACACAGTGGACCGGAGCACTAAAGATGCTCGAGAGCTCGAAGGAACAAAGGGAAGAGAAAGCCATAGTCACAACCAGAAACACGATGAAGTCAGGACCACTAGACAGAAGAATGCAAGACAAAATGATGGTTACAAGTAGGAATCTGAGTGTCTCAGGTCCTTTGGATGGGAAAATTCAAGAAAAACTGATGTACCCTAATAGGAGTCCAATGAAGTCTGGGCCATTGGACAGAAGGTACCAAAATAGTGCTGTTTATCCAAGCAGAAGCAATAAATCTGGGCCATTGGATGCAAAGGGCATGAGCCCAAGGCTTAATCACTACAATCAAGAAATGACACAAGCTGATGATGGGGTTTACTCACAATGGTCTTTAATGTTTCAAGATATGAAGCCCACTTGACAACTCATATGAAGCTATCATCTGTTAAACTAGTTGCAGATTACAGAATCCTAGGTTAGTACTATGTTTTTAGTAGATATCCTGTTTTGGTTTCTAGTAACAAAATGGCAGAATTCACTTTTAAGGTTATGGAAAAAGGTATGCCGGTACGTGTTGTGTTCATAATATTTTTCCGCTCCTGTTTCCTAGTATCTTGCCATTGTTACTGATTATTGATATTGTTTTTTCCATTTATTTTTCTGATTCTTAGGTCACTGGTACTATCTTTCTAGCCTCTGTTGTTGAAACAGTTCTATTGTCTCCTTCATCTTCTTGTGCCAAGGGTCTATCAGAAATAGTCTCTCTACCCCATGGTAGGGGTAAGGTTGGCACACATACTACCCTCTCCAAATCCCACTTGTGGGGTTATATTGGGTTGTTGTTGTTGGAAACAGGCATGGGGTTGCTGTCTCAACATTCCTTGTTCTGTTGTAACCTTCCTTTTCTGTATTTGTGTACTTGAAAGTCTTGAATTTTACTATCAAATATGTGTGACAGTTGGTTCATATTGGACAAAAAAAATGAGATTTTAAGCCATGCACATCTACTACAACTGATTCTCTCACTACAGAGCTACCAAATAGACAGATCAATCAGCTACAATTTCCTTCTTTTTGTGATAATCGAGAATCCGTTACCATATTACATTATTGTTACCATATTACATTGTTGTTACTATTGTTTGTTGCTTGGTTGCTTTATTTTCACTGTTCCTTGAGCCGAGGTCCTATCGGAAATAACCTTTCTATTTTTATTAGGTAAGCGTAAGGTCTGCGTATATACTTATGGGATTACACTGGATTTGTTATTGTTGTTGTTGTGATAACCGAGGGGATTGTGACATGTTCGAAACTTGGTGGATAATGGACCCACCCTTCAACGCTTCCCTAATTAAATACCAGGTTTGTGTCTGTCGCTAGGTTCGAACCTGTGACGTGCGCCTAATTCACAGGGCACAACCATCTTACAATTAGACCAAAGCACTAGACGCAGTTGACTTGTGTTTAGTGTGTTTTCTCAATTAGCTACAATTATATGCACAATGAAAGACTAGCAGCAAGAAATACAATCTATCAGCAAACAACAAATAGATACTTCTTTGATACTGAGAAAGACAGGTTTCATGTCATTCTGTGGTACTACAACAGTTCAGTGGCGGAGCCACATTAGGCTAAAGGGTGTCAAATGATAACCCTTCGCTAGAAAACTACACTACACTGTAGCTAGGTCAAACATTTATTTTTATGTAAATATATAATATGTTGAATCTCCTTAGCTTCTTCCTGTGTTTTATTTCTTTATATTTTGACACCTCTTAGTGAAATTCATGGCTCCGCCATTGCCACAACTTCACCAAAATTGACCTTATACATAGGCCATTAGAAAGTGGTAATCACAAAACTTGGAATTATTCCATCTCAAAGATCAATGCTAGCTCAGAATTAAAGTAAAATAATCTAAGCCAATTAAGATCATCAGCAATAACTATAGACTTTCTGGAATTTATTATAGGTCGGGCTATAACAAGATCGATATAACTATGCTTCCATAATAATGTTTCTGGTTTCTGTTGATAACCAAATCTCAGATTAGCTCCGATAACTGTAGTAGTATACATATATAT